ATCAGACTCTGCTGAAAGAATCTCCTTCCTGTTTACAGGGGAAAATAGAAAGGGGTGGCAGCCTTTCCACCTGGGCCTTCTTCATGGATCACTGAACTGTGTTAGAAGGGGGCTACAAGGACAGCACTGAGTTCACTACATATGAGCATTGCTCCCTCCTGCTGAGGAAGTGACTAATGTTCCAGGGACCTCAAGGACTCTCCTTTCTTCTTTCACAGAGGCAATCAGTGGGACAAAGCCACTTAGTCCTGCTGCAGATAACTGGGCCCACCCAGGGGCCCATCTAGATTGGGTCAGAGAAGGTGGTGCCACTAGCACAGGGGTGGGCAAAATGCAGCCTGGGAGCCAGATGTGGCCTGCCAGGCCATTCTATCCAGCCCGCGGGGCGCCTTAATATTAATTTTCTAAATTCTTTATCTGCCTTGGGCTGCCTGTCACATGGCCCTCGATGGCTTGCCAAAACTCAGTAAGCGGCCCTCTGCCCAAAATAATTGTCCACCCCTGCACTAGCAGGATTCTGCATGACCAGGGTGTCAGGTACAACGGTCTGTCAGCTGTGGCCATTGTATTTTAAATCAGGGTTATCACCGTGTCCTTGGCAGTGCTAGAACATGCTAGTTGGGTTCTGTGGCTGTAAATGGGATGCAGGTAACTTGGCTGGCAGGGCTGCCTGCCGAGAAGTAACGTGAACTTGCAATTCCTCTGACTGGAGAGCAAAGCCTAGTTTATGAAGGTTTATGCCTGATTTATGAAGGGCTGGCATGTGCTCCCCCAGTCACAGAGGGTGCCCAGCAACGAGGTAGGTCCATGAAGCAAACAAGCCAAAGGTGTGCAAAGGTTGCTCGTTGCCCCTGGATTCCTAGGCACACCATTTGCAGGCTGAGGTAAGGAGAGTAAAGCACCCAGTCTGGGTTTCTTTGTGGAAGACAGAAGGGTAGCTACAAAGTTGAGATGGAGGCAGACTCTGCACTGCAGCAGGTGACAGTTCGATGAATCACTTCACCCATGTCTCCATTCCCCCTCACCCTTTGTGGTCTATCCAGGCCACGGTGCTCTCATGCAGGGAAAGCGTTGCTGCGATATGCATAGGGAGAAGGGAAGTGGTTCTTTACTGTGCTGACCCCTCCTCTTAGATTAAAAGATTAACCTAAGGCTGGGTGATGGACTGGGAAACTGGGAACAATGGCAGCAGTCCTCTCAGCTGAGAAACTTAAACCCCTGATCTGGCCCGTAGGAAAACGCAAACAAAAAAGACATGGTGCCTTCAAGGGTGGAAGGGGGTGTGGGGGAAAGAAACCCTGAGATTCCTCTAGGCTGACACCTTTCCCCTCCATGGCTTGCTCTGGGCCCAGCTGACTTCCCCAGGGAGGGGCAGCTTGCTTTCGTCTGTTCTGAAAACAGACTCTGATGTTTAAAGGAATGTAGGTCACAGTTAATCAGATGCTCAGGCTGTCTGACAGCTCGACTGCTCCCAAAACCTGGCAGTCAGGGGCAAAGGCAAGGGGAAAAAAACAAGAAAACATGCTAATAAAAAACTGCTCAAAACCATCAGAATAAAAAGTCAGGCTGCTCACAGTGCTGGCTGCATGCAGAGGCATGTGGTCCTGAGCACACGTGTTGGGGAGCAGGAAGACTGATTAAAAGCCAGCCACGGGGTCTAGTTAAAAGGGAAGGAATTGGGCTACTGGGTTTTCCAAAGCTATACATCTTGGAACTAACTCTCTTTTTATAGCTCATCAGAGGAGGGATATGCCTCTCGTAGGGAGTTTTCTTTCCTACTCATTTGTCTGGGCTGTGGGAGCAGCTCTTGGACCAAGAGTGTATCGCTGACCTGCCCTGGGATGGAGGTACTTTGGCAAGCAGCATGTCAAAGTTGCTAAAAGAAGTTGAGGCAAGAAATCTCATTGCCTGGCAGTTTTAGGAGAACAAAGAGCCCTGAGAACCTGCTAGGGACTCCAGGCATGTGATAGTTCCCTTTCCCAGGAAGGTTTGCCTGACCTGCATGCCTTCCATCCTGGCTCTGCTGAGCACAATCTGCTCCAGAGATTTTGACCTCTGATGGAGAATGTCCAAACAATGGCACCAAACTGGGAGGGAGGGAGGGAGGGCTGGTTGCTACCCTTTTCCATACACTGCTTACTGAGGGCTGTCCACATTATTCTAGCTCCCCCTTCACCTACAGCCAGCATCACAACCTTCATCTTTCCAGGGCAGGACTCACCACTGGCTCCTCCCTCCTGTCTATAGCCCAGGCATGGCAGACTGCTCCCCATCACCTTTTATGTGCCTGAAAAACAGAGCAACCAGAAAAGCCCTGGTCTCTAGCTCTTCCCTGAAGAATGCCAGCCTCTATACTTTGGGGACAGCTACACCCTCCCTGTGTGTGCCCCCCACTCCCCAGAGTCACAGGGTGCTGTGGAGAGCCTGCTGCCTGTGGCAGGACAGAACAGGTCAGGTCATCAATGGGCACGCAGGTGGTGGGTCATCAACAAAACGAGCCTTATGGCACCTACAACAGCCCAGCCAACCGCCTGCCCAGAGCTTTCAGGCAAGGTTCCACAAAGCGGCCTTCCAATCCCACCTGCATGACTGACTCCTCAAACACCTGCCCTGAGCAATGCCTCTGTAAATCTCAGACAGGAAAGTCACAGAGGAGAATTATGCATATCCATTCTGAGCTCTTGTGGAACCAAAGGCAGGTGCATTTGCTGGGAGATTGCCGGGAGGAAGTGTGGGGGGCAGGAGGGGGAGAAGGGCAGGAAAGAAGAGGCTGAGTAGCTAAGGGTGACACTAGCTGGGCTCCTAATCAAGGCTCCCACAGGACAAGTGCTCAGATGGGTGAGCCCGGATGCAAAAGACAGGCAAGCTAGCAGGTGCCATCCTCAGTGAGTACGGGGAGCCAAAGTGGCTCCCACAACCAGGCAGCTAAGGAGGATGGAGCATTGCCTGTGGAGCCTAATGCTGGCATGCACAAGGACAGCTTCTTGCAGGGAGCTCAGCTTAACGGGCCTGTGGGAGAGGCTCCAAGCAGCCCATGGCAGCTGACAGGAGCTGCATCTTCTCTGTTCAGTGTAAACCTTCTCCATGGCTCTGCTCGTTTCCATGGCGACCCCACAAGTGAAATTTTCCATCCCAGATGCCAAATGCCTGTGGATGAGGCACAACCCTCCCAGGGTTACCAAATATAGACAAAACCCGAGCGTGCGCTCCACGATGCAGGGCGAGGAAGATGCATCAAGCCCCAGTGGGCAGCTGTGATGGTGGCTGCAGCTCAAGGGGGGCCCTCAGGCTGGACACCCTGCTCACCAGTGAGGGTTGGAGAGGATCTGTCACCTCTCAAGCAAGGCCCCATACCTGGCTTGGAACAGTCTTTATGCACCATAAACAGGAGCTGAGCATGCCTGCACACATGTAACTGGCATACTATGCTCCCTGGATGCAGAGCATGTCAAAAGGCACAGGAACCCTGACTGCCCAATGACTTGTCAGAGATGCTCCTTATTCAGAGCTGCCATCCACAACTGCACCCTTCTGCCCACACCTCTTGCCATCTAACCAGTATAAGCTAAACTGTGCTCTAGGGGGTAATCTCCCCACAAAGTAATCTCTCCTCCATACGAAGAGCAGCAGAATGGCTCCCTCCCACCTCCACCCCATGGAGCTGTGGAGCCAGACTAGCACACTACTTACGTGGTCTGCATGAGCTCAGGGTTGGGCACACACTGCAGGCGGTGGGAGAGGAGCTGGAAGGCACTGCTCTGGGGCAGCAGCATCAGCAGCCCATAGAGAGCCTTGATCAGGTAGGGATTATTTTTCACATCCAGCAGCTGCAGGCGAAGATCTGTAGCCAAACAGACAAGTGTGCAAAGGAAGTGAAACAGAACTTATATTCCATCCAGTACCCAGAGCCTTTGCTACCAATCTGCTAGGTCCAGACAGCGACTGGGAACTTCTTTACCAACATCTCCCAATAGGTCCAAGGCCACACCACACTAGTGCTGTGGACCTGCTTCCATCAAGGTAACTCTGAAAGAGGAACTCTGCCAGTTCCATTTCCAGAGGGAATATTCATTATTCCCTACTCCAGAGACTCCCGATTGTAGCTTCAGCATGCAGGCAGTGACTGGGCAGGCTTCTTCTTCTGACATCGTAAGAGGCAGTCACAATGCCACCAGGCTGCTTGCTCTACCGACCTTCCTCTTCCACGATGTGGTGCTTCTGTAACAAGAAGCCCTTTCTTGCCTACACCCCTCGCCCAATTTTGTGCATTTATTTTTCCTTCTAAGTACTGGCAGAGACCTAGCACACTCATTGCATGGGTGTGGCAAAGTTTGGAGCAAGCCAGAAAGCTGAAGTGGCTTTCTGTAGGAGAAACCCACAAATCACTACATATCAATTGAGCTAAGTGTCACTACAGAAAACAAAAGAACTAAAATATCCACTTAAAGAAAAGCCTGTAAGAGACAAGAAAAGCCAAGGTGCATTGAAAGCATGACTGTAAATATATCCTGGTGAACACGTTCCCCCTTTGATTAAAACCTATTTCCCAAAGCAAACTTCCCATATCTGTCTAAAGTTTATGCTAAATCAGTCCACTGCATCTAACCTAACTCACTTATTGTCCCCAGTGGCTGTTAATCCTCACTACCTCACATTTGCATTTATTGATTAAGGTATATTTCTTTTTATATTTCATCTGTCTCATCTTTACCCTGGCATTCTGTATTTTATGTTTTATACCTTTTAACTTTTAACAAATGTATTCTTTACAGTAAGTCATACCTTGTATTACTAAAATGATTATTATAAGAATGCATTGGAATTGTAATCACTGGAACTGTATTGCTGATTTGGGCTGGTCCCCCTGAGTGAATGCGAGTATGTATGAATCAGTAGATAATTGAATGGCAAAGCAAGAGCCTCTGGCTGTGAATTGACAATAGCCTAGCCAGAGAAACTTACCATTACAAAACTCTACTCTACAAGACATTTTAAGCTAATCAAGCCACCTGAAACCTGCAACAACACAGTCACAATAAGTCAAGGGTGGACTTCCAAAACTGCACCATCAGGTGAAACCCTACTGACCATGACTGACAGCTGTCATGCACTACTCAAGACCCACGCGGGACAGCGACCTCCAGACTGGACAGCCAAGATGATGCTGGGGGATCACACAAGTTTGCCAGAGAAGGGATAAAAGGCAGTGAAGCGTGACCCTCAGGGGTGCCCTCTCATCCAGCACCCAACCTACGGAAACAGAAGGACAAGCAGGCGACCCCCTTCTGAAGACACTGCCTTGGAGAAAACTGACCATTGACAGTAGACTCCAGCATCCCGGATAGGTTCCCTGTCCTGACCAAGTACATACCCGTTTACTGCCTTTTGAGCAAGACTGCCCATGGTTTGAGGTATAGTTGTGTTCTGCAAAGAGACTGTGTAAAAGTGGCAGCTTTCTGCATCTCACTGCATTCAAAGAGTCAGTAGTTTAGCAAGCTCATCTTCCATGGGGATCAAAGGGAAACTGTCTGCCAGGTTCCAGCTGTAAGATTATAACTGCACACGTGACAAAAGGAAGCAAATTACTGCTACGGACAATGCACTGAGACCATGAACTCATGATCTTGACACTCAGATTCTAGGTGGAAGCCATAGCTCTGACAGTAAGGAAAAGGTAGCTCCTTTCTTCTGGGCTAAGCATATTGGATTTGGAGTCTGTGCAATGTCACAGACATGGAGCAACACATGATGCCATCTGAAGTATTGCTTTTCAGATTAGCTGCACCTCAAGTCCCTTGAACAGTGAGCACTGAAAAGAAACAGCACATAATGTGCGGAAAGCAAGCAGTCCCTGCCAGAGTTACCACCATCATCTGCAGCCCTGGTCAAGTACAGGGTTACTGCAGAGGGCTATATGGTTTGTACCATCAGTTTGGTCCTTTTGGAACAGCAAATGCCTCTAAGTCTACACCAAAACCACAGTTGGCAGTAAACATGGCACAGCCCTTCAGAACATTGACCGATACTACACAACACAATCTGCACAACTCTAAGACAGCCATACACAGCAGCAGCAGTGTGAAAAAGAAACCAGGTGCCTGGCAGTTCCCTGAAATTGCCATTTCTAACTCTCTTCATGTAGACTGGCTTGTTTTACTGTCCTTAGTGTTGGGCAAGCTGGCCTATAGATCAAAATTACAGACAGGAAGGGGATGGTAATCTGTCAGCCAAATCATGTTCATATGCCTATGTATTAGAAGTCAGGGGACCTGAAGACATCAACACTGAATCAGACTGTACTCTGAGCCCTGCCACTGGAACACACCCTGCTCGTTTGCTCTCATTCTACATACACTGAGCGTAATGTAGCCACTGTTCTAATTAATGTGCCAGAGATACAGTAGTACCTGGCCTCATGGGCCAAAAATTGGACCTGCTGAAATTTCCGCAGTTGTGCACATGGAAGGGTGGGGAGCATGTTTTCACAGCAGCACTTCTCAGCATGGCCTGAGGTGTTGTAAACAGATCCCTTGTTCTCGAACACTGGTGTTTGCAGCATTCTAGCTGGTTTTACTTTGGCTCCTCAGGTGCACTGGCCAAGTCATTGCCCTTCTCAGCATCTTGAACTCCCTCATTTGTGAAATGGGGACCAGATACCAACACATCTTTGCAACGCAGAGATCTCTGGTTGGAAAATCTCATCTCCCACATGTGCCTCACCACCTTCCAATACCAACAAGACCCCCTTTCAGAAGGATTCAGAACTAGGGCAAGAACTTCTTTGTCTTCTGGAAACAGGCAGTCCTCAGGTTGGCCAGCTCAGAAATTGCTAATGTTCACATGCACTGGGCTCTGGAAAAGCTGGAGGAAACCATGCACCATCACTTTGTGAACAGGGATCAAAAGGCAGGTAAGAGAGGTGGAAAGTCTCTTTTCCTCCCACAGCAAACCTGGGCATTTCTCTTCCTTGGCTCATCCATTGCAAAACTCCCTGCGCCAGCTGACATGCCTAATGTTAACTGGTTTCCCATCAGTTTTGCTGAGCTGATGACAGAGGATCAGCAGCATCCACCTGCTGCCCCCAGAATTTAGGCAGTACCAGCAGTTTCATCTCTGCTGCAGGGAGGGGAAGGGCTTTGTGATGTGCACACATGCACTTCCCAAGTAGGATGGCAGCCCTTTAATTAATGCACCCAAGTTATTTCTCCCTTCTGACTCCTCCCTATCTCCCCTCCCCTCTATGTCTGGCTAGGGAACTGCAGTCCTGAACTCATACAATTAGAGTGATTTCCATGACAACAGGCTGGGATGTTGCAAATAAAAATTTGTCTTTGCTGTACAGAGACAATGGGATAAAGGAGATTGATCTTGCCCAGCCGCACGATCTTCTGGAAGGAAATCCAAGACTGGGACAGGAATTCTCACTGGTTAAATGCTTGTGCGTCATGTACTTGAAGAGCTCAGTGCACACTAGGCAAGCTTGCCTCCAATAACAGGGCATGAAGTAAGCATATTTCAAGTCCCAGACCTATTCTTGGGTGGAGCAATAGGTGGCATAGCCATGCAGCCTCCTGAACTCCCACAGATCTGCACACCCCTGATGGGCTATTACCTCTCTGACCCCTGCCCAATCCCAACTATTCAGCGAAGGTGACAAGAGGCATCCTGCTGTCCCAAGGACATCTAGGCTCTGGGCAGAAAGTAGGTGAATTCACATGCCATGATCACAACCCATTCGCTGCACCAGGGAGCTTAGGCAGAATTTAGAGCTGGAATCTATCTGCTGCTCGAGGAGAGGAGATATGGGAGCAAAACACAAAGCAACTCCTACACCAGAAGAGAGGGAATCTTGCCCAGTGCCAGCTGGCATGAGAAGGTCCAGATCACCATAAGGAGCTCACTGAATGCAACATAGCACAGGGCAATGAAGGTGCAAGGGCACTTCAGAAAGAAGCAGATTCACTGGCACTTGGCAAGTGTCCCAGCACTAGTAGCCTATGGACACACGCAGTAAGGCATAAGGCATGGGAGCAGGCTAAGCCCTTTGGGACTGGCAACCCTTCATTCCCATCATGCATGGTATGTAACTTGTGTCAGGCCACTCTACCCCATGGCACTAAGTACATATGTATAAGAAAAGCACCTGCTGCAAACCTCTCCTGGAACCTGTCAATGTTGCTGACCTGTCTCTCAGATCTAGGCAAGAATAAGGCCAAATGGAACCGCGGAGGGGAGAGCAAAGGAGCAGACTGTGCTGTAGCACAGCAATGACATGCAGAGCGGCCTGCTATGAATCACTGTGGGGAGCGTTCCAAGCAAGTGCCTACTGGTGAGAGCTGCCAAGGGCAAAGCAGAGCCTGTGCCTCTATGCACCTCTGGGGATTGAGGCCCAATCTGAGGGAACGCAAGTGATGAGTTGATGTCACTGCCTGACAATGTCTGACAAGCCGTGTTTTTGGCAGTGGCTGTGAGAAGCGTATAAATCAAGGCCCCATCTGCTTTATGGAAACTGACTATTGCTATGACTCCAGGCATGTTACTAGGAAAGAGACCACCCCCTATTGAGGCTGTTAGAGAGAAATGCCTTGTAAGCATGTCACCTCATGCTGAGGACACAACACAACCTGGAAGTCAAGTCACGTTAGGCTGGGTCACAACGCAAATGGGAAACCTTCGTGGAACAGCAATGGGCTACAGGAAGCAGTGCACTTGACTCAGGCAGAGGGAGCCAATGGCCCAAAGAGCACATCTTGCTGGAGGTGCCATCTTTTGGGTGATAACTGAAACATACATCCTGACCATTTAAAAGTGAGGACTGCTGGGAATGATCCTATGCTGCCTAGCTGTCAATGGGGCTGACAGCACAGCCCATGGGAGAACTCCCAGTCCAAAAGATCTCACTGCCTGGACAATCCCTGAGAAACCATGCGGACTTCACCCCTGTGCCATTATTCTTTTGCCACTCACTGGTGGTCATAAAAGATCCCCAGGCTCATTTTGAGACAGCAGGTGGTACTGAAACTGGTGTCCTGGCCAAGTGCCACATGGGGTAACTAATATCCTGTCCTTGCTAACCCCCTCCCCACTCCCCCACCCCCAAACACACAGGTTCAGCTGAATATGGTGTATACCTACATATGTCCTGGATTGCTGTGTAGTATTACCAGCCACCTTAAGACATGCCTGGCATATATTTACCTTTCCTGGGGTAATCTGCTACATGGATTTCGTTCCACACACCTTAGGGATCAACTGTGCTCAGCCAGGAAGTGCAATTGGGCACTTGCTGGTCTTCTCTTTAGGAGCCTGCAATGAGCTAGGAATAACGGGTGTAAACCTAGGAATAATGGGTGTAAACCTAGGAATAACGGGTGTAAACTAGTTAAGAGTGGATTTAGGTTAGATATTAGGAAGACATTTTTCACAGTAAGGGTGGCCAGGATCTGGAATGGGCTTCCAAGAGAGGTGGTGCTATCACCTAGCTTGGAGATCTTCAAGAGGAGGCTAGATAGTCACCTGGCTGGGGTCATCTGATCTCAGTCCTCTTTCCTGCAAGAGGCAGGGGGTCAGACACAAGGATCCATTGTGGTCCCTTTCTGACTCTACAATCTATGAATCTATGAGCTATGACCAGTCTTCACAACAGACCTGTGCCTTCCCCAAATCCACATCTTTGGGGATCTAGGGATCCTCTGTTCCCCTTCAAATGCCAAGCCCCTAGATAAGGGGAGACTTAACTGCTTATAGTCCTTTAAATTGGTTCATTCCCAGAAAAACAAGCTTGTATAAGTTGGAAGGAGTCCAGAAGGTGTTAAGAGCTCAGACCTGGTTTCAACTGTCCCAAAGTGTTTAGTTGGAGTTGTCTTGCCCTGTCTTTGTTTCATTTCTGACTTAACTTTCCAACAGCCCTCCTATTCAGCTAAACCAACGTGTTCATATCATAAACATCCCAATAACCAGGTCACATATGGGACTCATAAGTCACAGAACAGGTGCTCATCCTTCACACTGTACCACATGCCAGATGTGGCTGTAGTAAAGCTGTAGCTGAAATGACCCTGACATACCAAGTTTGAACACTCTGGGACCTTCAGGATAAGAGCCGGGATTACAGATTATACACAAAGACATAGCATATCAAGAAGCTATGAGAAGAAAACCAGTTCACTTCCTGCCTGGACTACCTACCATACTGAGGACAGTGTGGGCCAAAAGCTGGGCGTTCATGCCCAGCATCACAGATCGCACCCTAGGAATCCACTGCCCCAAGGCAGGACATGCTGGCACCCACAAACACAGAAGAGTGAATTTTTACTTGGTCCAGTGATTCTGCTGGTTAATTATAACAGGATTTTACATCAATGTTGAGAGAAAAAAAATCCCAAAACAAAAAAAGGAAATAAATACAGTGCAACACCAACTGTGGTCCAATACAACATGTTCAGCCTGGGAAAGCAGGAATCCAGGTTGCTGCTCCGTTCCTAATGAGGGTAACTGTGCTCACAGAGTGAGGAAACCCCAGGGGCCTGAGATGGCAGATAGCCCTGGCACCGATAACATGGACTCCACTGAGGTTCTACTCCCTTGCACCTCAGCTGGGCAAACTCTCCAACTACACTGTTCAGTCTTTTTTCTTGTGGCTCCACCAACCAGAACATGCTGGCTGGACTCTCTTCTCCTGCCTTGGATTGCTGTGTTAAACAGCCAAAAGCAACAGTACAGAAATATGAAACCACCCTCCTGGCCACTGTGGAGAATGCAGTGCCCTGGGAAGGTGAGTCCAGGAGTTCCCCACCTTGGCTTCATGGAGAACATAGAAAGCTCCTCTTCCCCTCAGGGAGGAAGGAAAGGGAAGGTGCCCAACCTTTTCCCCTTATGATTCTGCTCCATTAGTATTTTTGAGCTCCCAGAGCAAGTGTGCTTTTTCGAGGGTGATCCTTTAGTCACTGACATTTCAGAGGAAAAACAACCATTTTGGAAACCCATGTCTCTGCCAAAGCTCTAGTCAGACTAGGTTTGTGAAGAGTGTTTGAACACTCCTTTTCACTAGTATGGGTCACTGCCTGCGGGACCGCAAAAAGGCAAAGGCTGGTAACTGGGCAGAGCTTGCACCCTCCCAATCCCCACACTCCTTTCGCAACACTGCCCCCAAATTCCTCACTCTCAAATACTTGCCTTCCTTAGCTCTGCAGCAACAAGGAACTTTTGAAAATAGAAATGCTACCAAACAGGCCATATTGTAAAGGCTGTGTACCAGGAACCTTCCAAACAGATGACCTGGGGACCTACTTTCCTTTGGTCAAACGCAGTCCCATTCATCAAGATGGAACTGCCTGCTGGAGTCTTTCATCTTTCTTAAATGAATTTTGATTTTTGACATTTAATTTCTTGGAGAGCATCATCTGCATATGGATTTCAGAGCCCTTTAAAATTATTTTTAAGCCAGAACTTTTGGTCTCTGGGCAACATTTCCCATAGAAGCCCCTGCAGACAGCAGGCAGAGAGCAAGGAGCATGCATAGTACACATTCCATGAAAGCTGCTAAAGGCAGAGTTCAAGTGTGCAACACATGGACATCTCTCAGGTTCAATTACTATAGCATGTGTCACTGAGCCACTCTCTCACTGTAACAATATAATGCCCGGAAAACCCTCTGGCTCAACCGAACCATAGTCTACCTCCACAAACATTTCATTCTCTTTGGCACACATTACTGATGCATTGACCCAGAGCTGTAAACATATCCCTGAGTAACTTCAAAATAAACTCCATCACCCTCAAGAAGGGGGCAGTGGGCTCTGTGCATTAGGTTAAGATAAATCCTCAGCTGTGGAGATCAATGTTGGGAGGATCAGAACCACAGTTTGAGTCTCAAGTGTGAGCAGAGATGCTTCAGAATCAGGCAATTTTGGAAAATGCTCTTTTCTGCTGTTTTAAAGGGGACTGTATATCAGGAATCCTTGTTTAAGCAACCTAAAAATTAGAAGCAGCAGGCAGTCTCATCTTACACTCTCTCGAAGCACAACAAACTTCAAGACTGAGCTGTAACATTTGTCAACAAGCATTTAGAACAGGTCTTTTAACCAGTAAGTGACTCCTAGTCTTAACTGCAACAAACTACCACACCGTTATAACACACTGAGTTTATATATTCATTATCTTCATACTCGTATGCAGCTACCAATGACACAATGTCATTGCCTTGAGCAACATCACAGTAGCTGCACAAAGGCATCCAAGCGGTTTGCTCCAATTTGGTGCCCCTGCCCTCTTTGTTTAGAGCTAACAGTATTGGGACTGTTAACCTATATTCAGCATGTGCTCCCTTCTCTGCAGCTATCCAGCATGTCCTGATGGGCAGTTCTACTGGAGGTCTTGCACAGCTCACAGCAAAAGTCTCATAACTTCTGCTCTATTTATTTGTGCAGTGCTGCCACTTGTGATGAAGGAGCAGGGGGGGACATGCCCAGAGTACATGAGTGCGCGAACACACCATGCGTGTACTCTGTATCCTTCCCTCAGCGCACACATGCGTACCTCCCCCCACCAATATTGCAAAGCAAACTTTGGAACCCCCCCACCATCCACATCGCAAAGCAAGCTTTGGAAAGGCTACAGTTGATGCTTACATGTGAAAATTGGACATTCAATGAGCTGTACCAGCTTGTCTACCTCTGTGAGGAAATCCACTGTGACTTCCAGGTCCCCACTGGAGATGTTAGTTAAGGACATTTATCTTTTTTGAGAGAAGGGTGTAGCCATGGTACATGCTGGCCACAGTTCAGGTAGCCCAAAAGAGGCCTTTTGCAGCAGCAGAACTCATGTGCTGGCAACTCTTTCAGATTCCCCCGTTTCTCTTTTGGATAGGATCAGTTACTGCCCAGTTTGCACTACACATCAGGGCTTGCCTTCCAGAAGGAACTGGGCAGCACAGGAGACCCCAAATGCTGCATCCCTTATGTCTCCCATACCTGCACAGGCAGCTGCCCAGCAGAGGGTACAAGCATTCAGGTGCCAGTCTGGGGCCTCTTCTGCTGCACTCTGCTTTGGCCTCTGATCGCTCTCTTCCAAAGTCTTAGTGAAGGGACAGAATGTGACTCCAAAATCTCCATTAGAGCTTGTTCAGGTTTCTACTCAGCACAAGCCTGAGACACTTTCAACACAAATACTAGTCTCTTCCTCTTTACCTGTATCAGCACCTAGTAAACAGCTGGCTCCTACAGGAAGCTGAGGAAAATCTCACCAGTGAGATATTTAAACACTCTAGCAGAGACTCAGTGACAAGGTTGAGGGAGGGTGGAAGGGGACCTGGAGCATCAGCTCTTCAGGCTGAGCGGGTCTCCAGTACCCCAGCAGTCAAAAGATGGGGGAAAGTCAGGATGTCCTTTAAGACAGCAGAAGCTTTATAAAATCCAGGCCAGGTATATCATTGCAAGCAACTCTATGTGAAAAAAAAGCAAAGTGGTTTAAAGTGATTTTATACACAGCTGACCTTTGGAAGTATACAGTGCTCTTACTGCACTGATCCAAAGTGTTCTTAGCACCTAAGATAAACTTTGAAGTGCATTAGAGAGGGTAATTTAGATTATTAAGCTTGTGCTTATGGAAATATACTTAGGGACTTTCATATTTTGCTGGCACGTGGAAATAATCATTACATTCAAACCTAAATAGTGATGTCAATGGAACCACTGGAGAACCGCAGAGAACTGGTCTCAGCCTTGCCAGCAAAGCCTCAGCCGTTGCCTCCTCCCAGGACTTGCTAAACAAGGAAGCATTCCTGAGACACTGGAAGCGAGGCAAACAGAGGATCCAGCACAGAATGCCCCCCCCCAAAACAAACAACAACAAAAAAACCCAAAAAACCTCACGTTATGCTAGTGACTGAGGCTACGCTCTGGCCAAGGGGAGCTAGGGGGTCACGGGGAAGGGAGACGACTGTTTGCTCACCTCCTGTACTTGAGTGGAAGGTAAAAATAAAACAAAAGCAGCAGATACAGAACAGTCCAAAGGGCTGCTGGGTTCCACTGGTGCTGCAGTTATAGCCTTGCTTGAACACAAGTGGGACAATATTATTTTTCCATCCACACAAGATTGGGGTGAACCTCATGTTCTAACATGGTTGGGTTGTAACCATGCTGCAACCAGACTACATCTGGAGCCCAGGCAGAGCTACACAGACTGAAAGGCTGCCTTGCTGTATTTGATAGCATCTCTATTGCCACCAGTACTGCTGCAGCTTCCTTAGCCTGACGAAGGGTTTTTGAACCTGAAAGCTTGCTTAATAACTATTCTCCAACCATTTGGGTTGGTCTAATAAAAGATATCAAATTCACCCAAGGAACCTTGTCTGTCTATTGCCACCAGAAATATATGATGGCAACAGTATCTCAGAGAGAGCTCCTCCCAGCAGGGACCTAGGCTTCCTACTTTGTATCCTGCCTAGCACAACAGGGCCTGGAACAGAGCTATAAATAGCAATACAAACAGCAGCAGCAACTGAGCTGCAGCTCATGAGGCTGAAGCCTTGGAGGGGGGGGACGGTCAGCTGACAGCAGTTAGCTGGGCAGAGTGCTCCCAGCCATTTACTGAGCAGAGGCCTGGGGCCTGCAACTCCCTCCTCAACCCTCCTCCCACATGGCCCAATGGCTGAGCTTTAAAAACACAAAAAGAAACTGTGTGAAGTGCCCCCAACTTAAGGGAATCCAGGGCCCCTGACAGCTGAAAGGAAAGGAGAGTCTCTCTTTGGCACAGGGCTATGTGTAAACATGGAGTCCTTATCTTCTCAGAGGGAGGAGTTCATAAGAAGGCTCTATGGAGCCACCTAACTCCTTGCCGGCAAAGAAGCTCTGCACTGGGCTTTCCTCTCTTTACACCCACAAAATGTTATGCAAAGAAAAGATATCTGGACTGTGGCCAGGAAATGTGTCCACCTCCTTTAATTAAGGTCCCTCGGCAAGGAGGATTCCTTAGGTAACAGATGGCTGCAGCAGGGAGCAGGGAGCTAGGGCTCGTGTAGAAGGGGCTTTTCCAGCTGTGCAACCAGCAATTATTGCTTGATCGCATGCATGGGCAAGCCCTGGACTCTCAGAGAATGTATACCAGGGTGGGCAAAATACGGCCCGCAAGGCCATTCTATCCGGCCCACAGGGCCCCTAAATATTAATTTTCTAAATTTTTTATCTGCCCTTGGCTCCTGTAAAAAATGACAGGAACCAAGGGCTGCAGGACCCAGGGGAAGTCTGGCAGGCTCCCACAACAGTAGGGTCTGCACCCCACAGCCGAAAGCCCCAGTAGGGGCTTCTGCCCTGGGACCACGTGGCTGCTCCGTGCCAGAACCCCAGGTAAGGGTGCGGGGGGGGG